CCCCCTCACATGCGTTCTCTCTCTCTCTCTCTCTGAAAAATAAACATTTTTTTTTAAAGGGCAACATTTAATGCCTGCAGTGCATTAAATTCATACATGCAGACACCCGTTTCTTTTTCTTTTGGGGAGTGGGTTTTCCCCTAGGAACAAGAGAAATTTTACGACCTGGTGCTTTAGGAAAAAAATGGAGGCTGTGTGCTCTCCAAATCTCAGTCATCAGTCTTCTGGTTTAACTGCAGCAGAATGCATTACTGCCTTCTCGAAATGCATGCTTATCGACGACAGTGATTTCCTTTTAGGTAAAACGGGCATTTACATGGACGCTAGGTGAAACCAAGGGATTAATGGATTTCTTTAAATGGCTTGTCATCTTAAACAGGGTTAGGTCAGCTTCCTCAAGTGGCGTGCTTTATCCTGATTTCTAACCGGAAGAAGGAAAATGAAGATTTGTTCCTCGTTTTCCAGGTAGTACATTCCCCGTAGTCGATAATTCCCAACAGCAGACGCTGTAGAAGTTGTATGTTAGCAGCCTGAACTGTAGGAGGAGAGGATGTTTGTTGTCCAGAATCAGTGTCGGTCATTTTAGACATATTGAGAGTGCACTCAGTGGCTTGTTTTTTCTTTTAAAAATACCCCCTGTAATAAGATTCATTCCTTCATTTGCACCAACACATTACACGTCCACCCTTTCTGTCCTCACTTGATCACAAGTCTTTCCCCTGGCTCTGCCAGGCTGTGCTCCCCTTGAGGTCTGGAAATAACTCGCACATGTCCACGTTTGTGAGAGTGTGGCTCAGTGCTTATTTCGTGGGTGTTCAGTAAATAATTGTTGACCCTCTTCTGTCCACTGCTCCTCTGTTGTCCTTTCTGCTGGTGGTGGTTAATTTCCATAGATTTTGTTTTGGTTTTGTTTGCAGAGCAGCGGGGTCATTTATCCGCATTTGGCAAGCATTCCTTTAAGCAGGGGGGGAGCCCAGGTCACCAGTCATATGCAAATTCAAGATGAGACTCTCCGTCTTCCTTACAAGGCTTACTCACGTCCAGTAGCAAGAATCCGAGTTGGTGACATTTTGTGACAATTTTTACTGGTAGCTAGGACTCAAATGTGTCGCATCAAGGAGGTTGAAATCAGAAAGACCTGAACTCAGCAGGCCGGCAGGTCAGTTTTTTCACATTGTGGGTCATGATACCTTGGTGAGATAATTAGTGGGACACGTCTAAATGTATTTTCTTAAGTAATAAAATATAGTTTTTCGAAGTAATAGCCTGGGAAAGGGTAAAACATTTCATATTATTTCAAGAATTTTTTTGTTTCGGAAAAATAGACTTACGTGTGTGAGTGTGCACGTGTGTGTGCGTGTGATGTGAAACTGAGTCGCAATCTAAAATGTAGATTGTCAGGGCACCTGGGAGGCAAAGCGTCTGACTTCAACTTGGTCATGATCTTGTGGTTCATGAGTTCGAGCCCGCCTCGGGTCTGTGCTGACAGCTCTCAGCCTCAGCCTGCTTGGGATTCTGTGTCTCCTTCTCTCTCTGCCCCTCCCCTGCTATCTTTCTCTTAAAAATAAACATTAAAAAAAATGTAGATTGTCGTCAAGAAAGAGTTTAAAGAACACTAAGCTTTGGATATCTGAATGTTTCATTATTCTGAGCCTTGAATGTCTCATCTGTAAAATGCGGTTGGTGACTATTTTGAGGATTTATTCTGAGGATTAAGGGCAGTCATACATGAAGGCACATTGCATAGCATCTAATTTACTTGATAGACATGCAAAAGATGTAACCTTTTCCTAAAACTAATCCATTTAAAATTTAATCGACAAGGATGTATTCAAGTGCACACAGGACTGAGTCAGGATTTCGATCCATGAAACTAATTATTAAAATCCTATCTGATTTGAAAGACAGTGATGTTAAAAATTAATCAGGAAGGACACTGCTTAATTCACCCACTCTGCCTATTGATTTTTTCTTGGAGATCATTGCTTTTTAGCTCAATAAAAGTATTTTTAATTTATCAACCCATTTACTCAAGTAATATTTTTAGAAGCTAGAATATGTCCAGAGGAACATGACAGAAATTTTTACATGGGTCCAAACTTAGGCTGTGAGAAACAGCTAAAAGAACTAAGTTAAAACTTAAGTGACATTGGTTTCATGTATTCAAAGGATTATTTCATGCCAGAGAAATCACATTAATTACATATGTTCTTGGAAGAAGGAAACTTGAAGACCTATTTATTGGAAGTTATGGAATAGTAGAGTTCAGTTCAAAATCAGAAACAGAATTATCCTTGAGACTGGTCCTGAGTCACTGTAGCTACTTTAGAAGGGATGTTCCTCCAAGAAGGCAAGGTGGGTATGTTGGGATGTGATATCGTGCAAACTACCTTTTAGTTTAAAGATCTGATGTTTTTCAGGTTGGTTTTTATGGGTGAGACATCCTGATAGGCCAAATACCTAACTTTTATGTCGAGCATTTCCACATGACATGCACTCAGGACATTCGGACCTGAAAACAGAACCCTGTAGAAACTGCTGAGCAATGTGCTTATTTTTTTTTTAATGTTTATTTTAGAGAGAGAGAGAGAGTGAGAGAGTATGTGTGTGAGCAGTGGAGGGGCTGAGAGAGAGGGGGACAGAGGATGCCAAGCAGGCTCCTCACTGGCAGCAGCAAACCCGACGCGGGGCTCGAACTCACAAACTGTGAGATCATGACCTGAGCCAAAGTTGGACGCTCAACTGACTGAGCTCCCCAGGCGCCCTGGAACATGCATATTTTTATCAGTGAAGGATTCATTGTATTTATTCAGTCAGTTTTCATCACAGGCATTTAATTGATTATCCCTGACTTTACTCTGAATTTCTTCCTTTTGTTAGTTACGTTTGCTGAGTACTTAGGAGCAAAAGTAGAGAAGAGGTCTGTCCATTGCTCGTTTTTAGCAGTTCAGTGGATGCTGCCGTTGGTGCGAATGCAGACAAGGTTGGGGCATCTGAGCATGGGAACATCTATTAAGAAAACAGGCGGTGAACAGGTGTCTGGAAGGAAGAGGTGACTCTTTAGAAATAAGATGGTTGGTGTCACCAAGCAGCCAACCAAGAAAGGCATATGGTGATGACAGGGAGCATTTTGTTTTCCTGTAACTTTTGGGAAATGCTTTCAGTGGCTTTAGATTTTGTTGGGAAATTTTAATTTAATGTAAAGAATGCCCTAGATCATAATGAAGCCCGGGCACCTGACAATGGCTCTCTGCTCCAAAGTGATTTATTGATGAGAAATCTGAGTTGTGTCAGATGCGAACCGATATGCCTAAGTACCACTGAGCTAGAATCAGAACATGTATTTCTTGACTTAGAATCTACTGTTCTTTTTTTTTTAATATATATTTATTTTTGGCAGAGTGTAAGTGGGGAAAGGGCAGAGAGAGGGGCACAGAGGATCCAAAATGGGCTCTGTGCTGACAGGCGCACAGCAGCAAGCCCGATGTGGGGATTCAAACTCATGAACTATGAGATCATGACCTGAACCAAAAATAGAAGCTCAAACTACTGAGCCACCCAGGCACCCCTAAAACAGAGGGTTTTTTTGTTAGATGATTTAGTTGAAATGAGTATTAAGGGATGTGGTCCACTGCCTGCTCCTACCTCCCACTGGCCCCACAGCACAACCACTAGCCTTCCAAGTTGCACCATATAATTAAATTTAAAAAATCTACTTGCTGGCCTTCATTTTATGACCAGGGTTTCTTTGAATGCAAGGGAAAGGGGGCATTATTTTAGACTTCCTAGGAGAAAATTCCATTTTCTCAAATGTGGCAAAACAGCCTTTAGGGGCAGAGTGCAGTGAGCATGATTCCAGGGGAGTCTGCTGGAAGGGAAGATGTAGAATATGAGGAAATCTGCCTTTCTACTGTCCAAAACAGACATTTGTAAGTATTAATCAACTTCAGAGTATAACTGGCTCACCATTTCTAAGACTTTTCCCAAAGAAAACAACATTTGTGAAAATAGACCTATTTCTCTTAATGTAAATAGTTGTTAGTGCTGATTGGAAATTGTTTTGTTACAGATATTCTGTGGGGTCTGTAGCGATGGCTCTTTCTAGGGAATGAGCAAACAGCATGTGGTTTAGACGAGCCACCCAGTGATCTGATAGGACAGTGTCTCTAAAGGAGGAGATTGATTTTCTTTGATGGATTCTCTGGAAATCACGTGGAACCTCCAGAGCCTTCCTGGGCTGAGGCTCAGTGACATTGGGATAAGGGAATGGATGAGGGGCCGAGATCAAGCAATCATGACTTACACGGTGATGGATCTCAGAAGGTAGTGCCGAAGCCAGGTTTGGTTGTTACTGATGTTTTTAATGATTACATGGCCAGTGAGCTCATATTTTATAATTTCTCGGGACCTGAGGCTCCCTCAAGGTGGTGGCATATTTATAACCCATTTCAGTGCTTTTTCCGTCCTAAATCCTTGACCAAACGCTTAATAGTGTCCACTGCTTCCTTGTCTGAAGACTCTTCTTGCCCAGCACTGCTCACCAGCTTGGCACATAGGGGTAACTCCCCCTCGGGAAGGAAGGAAGTCTGCGTGCCCGTGGTGCCGATCACCAGCACGTTTTTCTTCAAGTCGATGGAACACTGATGTCTCCTGAGCATGTCCAGCCCGAGAAGCATGTCCATGGGCTGGTCCTCGAGGATAGAGAACGAGCACTGAAGGAAATCCCCTTCGATCTGAATCTGAGCCAGATGGACCCGGCCCATGATCCTCTGTGTGCCCACCCCCTTGGCGATGCCAGCCCAGCGCCGGTCCACCAGCCGGATGATATTGCACCTCTCGGCACAAGCCTGGCTCATGATGGTCATCTGGGCCCCCGAGTCCACAAAGGCCTTCAGAGGGTGCCCGTTGACTTTGCAGTTGATGTAGAGCATGGCCACTTGCCCGAAACTCTCCGGGGCCTCCTCCATCGCTATGTTCATGTTCTCCTCGATGTTCTGCTGCCGGATCTCTTCTTCGATTCTGGCCTGAGCTTCCAAGTCGAACGGGTCCGCGGAGTAGAGACGAAACCTCTCCTGCTCCCGCAGGGCCCTCTCCCTCTGCTGCTCCATCAGGACGCGCGAAAACGTCTCGAGGTTCCCACTGAGCAGGGCCTCGGCCAGGCGGGGGTTGCGCTCCTTCAGCAGCGACAGGTCATGGGGGCTGGACAGCAGCATGCTCCGAATCAGCACAGGGCTGTCCAGGCTCTGTGCGGACACCCTCTTCTCCCCGGAGCTGAGGCCGCGGGGCTGCACCCGGCGCTGCAGGTGCTGCGGGGGGTGCTGCTGGCGGCCGCCCGACGTGCCCGGCTCTGCCGGCCCGGCCAGCTCCACATGGGGCAGGCTGGCCGTGCGGCCGGGCGTCCGGGATCCCGCGCTCTCCTTCTGCAGCAGCACCACCACGTCACCATCGCGGAGGCCGTAGGAGCCCAGCGAGCTGTGGTCGTCGGCCAGGACCTGCTCCATGTGGATGATCTGGATCTCGTTGGTGGGGACCCCCGACTCCAGCTCGCACAGGACGCGGAAGTCGTGCAGCTCGAAGTCAGGGCTGACCTGGAGGGAGAAGGTCGCCTCCGACAGGTCCCTCCGCACACAGTACACGGTGACCAGCATGGCATGGGCCCCGGGTCGGCGCAGGGGATCGGCTGCGTGGCAGGCTCACCGGTGTCCTCCCCTGGTGCCCCGGCTCTCGTTCATTCGCCTGTCGGGGAGGCCCAGCTGCTCACCAGCCCCACGGAACCTCGAGGGCACGTGTGTGTTCCAGACCCCGTTTGTGTGGTGCTGCTTGGAACTTGGAACGCCCGCTCCCCCAGAAGCCAGGTCTCTCTGGTCCCGCAGCGTGGTTCCCAGGCCAGCCCTTCCAGCCCTGCCCATCCGTCCTCTGGGAATGATGAGCTCTTCCCAAATAGCAGGAAAGGTTTCATCGGGGCCCTCTGAGAGCTATAGTCCGTGTGCTCTTCGTCACTCTGCAGGCAGGGAGTGCGGTCGCCTCCACGGCCAGCATCTCCCTGTGTGCCTGGGGCAAAAGACAGGGGTCAGACTCAGTGCCTGAGCTCGGGGTGGGGTGGGGGTCAGACTCGGTGCCTGAGCTCCATGACCTCACGCTCTCGGGGGGGCTCAATGTGAACGGGGAAATCGCAGTACTGGAGGCAAGGGCTTCTGCTGAGACACGTTGAGCTCCAGAGGAGACCAGGCAGGTCCTGACGGATGCACATTTTCTGTGGGAAAAATGGTGAGAGTCACTCCGGACGAAAAGAATTAAAAAAGCCAGAATTCATGACGCGGCCTGCTTTCTGTCCAGGGACGTGAGCCATCCAACGTAATAGGAGAAATTTGTACGTGGTTTCGAGTGGCAGGATGTGAGGCTGGAAAGAAGATGACTGAATCTGGTTTATGGAGTCACATGTGAGTCCAAGGAATGGCAATATTATCAATAAGGAAGAGTCCTCCCTCCAAAAATATAAAAAAGGAAGGGCGGGAAAGAGAGAGAAAAAAGAGAAAGGAAGTGGGGAAGATTTGAAGCAGGTGTGTGTGTGTGTGTATGTGTGTGTATTTCATTTAATTGACTTAAGGAAGAGGTCTCTAACGCTTCATGGGGACAGGTGGGGAGAGAGCCAGGTAAAGGGTTCTCGCTGGTGCAGACAGGAGACTGTGGGTTGAAGGAACAAATACGAGGAAGGCTCCAGCCCGCTCTGTGGGGAACAAGAGTGTTCCCTGACTAGAATGGACGGCACGTGTCTACCCGTTGGATGCGGGGAGTGGAAAACACCAGAATGCGTGGGTGACACGGAGGCTCTCAAATGGAGGCCTGGTTAGAAATAGGCCCTTTCCTCCAGTGGATGCGCGAGATGCTCCTTCGAGGAAACCAACCTGACATCAGTTCTGGAGTCAAACGCGTCATGAATGCCTCTCTGGGGGTGTCTCTGGCTTCCTCTCCGACAGAGGGCCCGTTACCTCCCATAGGCACCTGAGCGGAGGCTCGCTGGGTCAGGGTAGACAGGACCTCCAGGGCCAACGGTGGCCGTGGAGAAGTCCTCGAATGCCACTCTTTGTGTCTGTATTTCAGTGAGGCACTCCTGCCTCCCAGGTGTGTGTCCTTACCAACCACAAGGTAGTCTGCATCGTCGGCCTTGTCCCTCCCCGCCTCTTTATTGCAAGTTCTCTCGGAACACCTGCACCGTTTGTTCCAGATTGCATCAGCCTACAGAAATGTTTTGTTTTGGCCTCGTTTGTCTCGGAGAAAGGATGGCCTCTCACCCGTTGCTCTGACTGTCATTATCTTTCCACACACCTGTTCATTCATATCGGAACGTGGAGTAAATGCCCAGTGTGTGTGAAGCATAAGCTGAGTTCCGGGGATAATGTGAAGTGACAACTGTGTTCGTAGAGGACCCCGCGGTCTTTGAAAGGGGGGTGTAGGTGGACACACACACACACATACCCACGCTAAGTCAGTGGGTTGAAAAAACACCAGACAAGTCCGCACAACTCGGGAGGAGTGAATAATGTCTGGGGAACAAATGCAGGATGCGGAGAGGGGGTCGGGCCGGGAAGGCTTCCAGAAAGGTGGCGAAAAGGCAGCCGCGTGGGGGTGGACATGGTGGAGAACCGGGGGCTGAGAAGTGTGTGGCCTCCCTTCACACCTTTAACCGGAAAGGGAGCGGCTCTTCAGGATGAGGAGGATTTTGTAACAGTTTGGGGGGGGCGGAATCTTGCATTGTAATTTTCCTGTAGAAAATTGTGAATTACTTGGGGCTATTTTCCACTCTTTGTGGAGAGGGATGGCCTTTTGACTCAAAATGTTAAGTTCACAAACTCCTGTAGTTGTTGATGTCATCAGAGATCAGCCTTGGTCGTGCTGACCTTGAGAACAAGTGTAAGGTGAGACCCAGCCAGCAAGGCACAGATTCTACGTCCTACCAACCAGCTTTGGACGGTTGGTTGTCAGGGAGATAATGCTAGGGTTTTGTGTTTTATAAACAGTGGGCGAGATCATTTTTGCAGAGTAAGCTTTTGATTTTTTGGCACAGCAAGGACCCAGGGTTCACATCAAAAGAAGAAGCTAATGTTCTTTTTGTTCACGTTACCATTGCTTTGTTACCGAACATAATTAACCTTCATGCCGTGTGTTCTGTTAGCTTGCTGTGACTCTTTACTTTTGGTGGCATTTTGCATTAATGCCATTTTTACTATTGTAGCCTTTTCTGAGAATACACGGTGGAAACAAGAAGCCCTCAAGGTCTGGCCAATTCAGTGTCATCATTCCCCACAGTATCACACAGGATGTCAGGATTAGCTGGGGTCTTAGGGTCCTCCAGTCCAGCCAATCATGCAGACCTCGCCTCTGTTGCAAAGCAAGCATCCTGGAATCTAAAACGCTAAACACAGCCTTCTGGGGCTGCATATATGTGGTTTGATTCTTTCATTTCTCTCAGCACCGTGGGTGTTTGAGATACCATATGTGTAATTATCTTCCCTCAAAACTGTAATGACAAACTTACTCTGATTGTATAATAAACTCAGGGATCATCGGGAGTCTATATAAATACGCCTAAATATAAAAATGATCCCACAGCATAAATTCCTGTTGCACAGCCTGGTGAGAAATGACGGGCACTCTGAATTCTCTAGGTGCACAAATCCAGGTAACTGGGGGTTCTTGTAACTTCTCCTGACGAGTTTCCGTGAATACATTCTCTCACTTCTCTTCTTTCATAAGTACAGTATGGGAACATAATTGAATCTTCCTTTGATAAGTGAGATTCCCTACAAGGTCTCAGGGCGATCACTCAGAAAATCGATTCTCCTTGTACAGCCTAAATACCCAGAAAATAGAAAAGATGATGCTGATTTCAGGCCAGCCCACTAAACAGCCCCCAGGTTATTTTTTGGAATAAATCCACAACAATTCCCTTTATAATTTGCCTCTTGATAAAACCTTAATGCAGTAAAAAAAATCCAGATAATTATGGTGTCACTTAGTGAAGTCAGTTGATGTTTTTTTTTTTAAATTTTTTTTTTCCACGTTTTTATTTATTTTTGGGACAGAGAGAGACAGAGCATGAATGGGGGAGGGGCAGAGAGAGAGGGAGACACAGAATCGGAAACAGGCTCCAGGCTCCGAGCCATCAGCCCAGAGCCTGACGCGGGGCTCGAACTCACGGACCGCGAGATCGTGACCTGGCTGAAGTCGGACGCTTAACCGACTGCGCCACCCAGGCGCCCCAGTCAGTTGATGTTTAAAGCGCTATGTCTTGCTCGTTACAGAGCAAATGTCTTTTTGTGAAAAAGGAGTAGCTTCGTAAATGTCTAGTATGTAGCATATATAATAATTAAACCACATTAAGCACACATATCAGCTTGCTGTGTTTGGATTCCTTGCTTGAAATATGTGCCTGGTATCACTTTAAAAATAAAGTACTTATTAAGACAGGGCAATTGTTCCTTGAAATTCTCAAAGCAACTTGGGAAAGATGCAGAATTTTCAAAGCTGATTCAGAGGTTAAACCACTAATTTTCTTACTATTCTTCCATTTTCTTTACAATAATACAATCAATTGTCACAAATGAACAACATTTATTTCCTCAGATAATTGTTCGGTACACACATTAACAGTACTCCGATGAAAGTTCAGGCTTTTATTCGTACGTTGGAAGGTTTCCCCTTTGAGAGGTTTAGCATTGCCCATCTTTGAGGCTTAAACACTGTGATAAGACCTCTAACGTAAATGTATAAACAGATACGTAATTGAAGAAACTCATGAGACCTGAGAACATAATCTGTATCAACGTGCTGGCAACTCAGCTGGTGTTTTTCTTTATTGTGAGGAGACAGAATATGGACAGAAGACCCGCACTGCAGAAATATACACGTGTGAGGAGAGAGCAAGTGCACATGTAGTGAGGACATGTTCTCCATCACTTAGAATGTGCAATTAAAAAGATATACAATTTTCCAGCAGGGAGCACTTTTATGGCACGTTGTATTATTGCTTTATTTTATAGATTACTGTTTTAACATTTAATCATAAGAAATATGTTTTAAGTATATATTGCATGTTGAGAATAACACAGTGTCTTGATAGCTTTTGGCTGCTTCAAAATATAGACTTCCCAAATCTAAATATACATGTGATTTACTTATTTTTAAGAAAGTTTGCTGCTATAATTTTGTGCCGTATGATCCCTTCACTGTCTTAATCATTTAAAAATTAACTCAGATCTGTAGGATGCACACCTTATTACTGAAAGTCTGAAGATCACTTGTAATTTGTGAGAGAAACACTTACAGATTAAATAAATTTAAGGTAATAAAGACAGGATGAAAACAACTTACGATTTCGTGGATTGATACTTGTTTCTTAACTTTCTAGAAACTTAACTAGAAAAAGAACGTTTCCATTTAAAAATTCTTGCTCAGTGGAGAATAACCAAGTTACACAAAATAGTAACAGTAATGATAATAGAGCCTTAAGATGTTTTCATTTGAGCTGTGATTGGGGAAAATCATTCAAACCTTTTTACATGTTTACTCTTTTATAGCAAACTTGTAATCAGCACATTTCAAAAACACTGTAGTTTAGAAATAGCATCGTGACCTATTCATAAGTTCA